AAATTTCATCTACTGTAGCCGGTGCATTTCTTATGATTTCGTTGATTTCACCGTGTTTCTTATCCCCGGCGCACCAAAGTTTTCGTGAATTTGTTGAATTTCGGACATGATCTGCAAATCTTCGTTGTTGTCTTCATTGCATTCTGAATTCGCGAAATACAACGGAAGAATTTTCTTCAAGCAGTTTACCAACGTGCTTCGTTTTATGTCTTTTAGAACCAAATCCAAGCAGTCGATACTACTTTCGTATATCCGCTAGTGAAAGGCCTTCATTTTTGGCTGTTTCCAGAATATAACTGTAGCTTCTCTTGACATACTTCAGCTTGAAATTTTTGATGAATCCTTGATCAAGGGGTTGAATCAAATACGTGATCTTTGGTGGCATGTATAGAAGCATTATGGTGGGATTGCTTATGGTGAGCGGATGCAACGGAGAGTTGTCAAGGAGCAACAAAGCCTTGAAGCTCATGTTTTTGGCTGCGCAAAACTCCTCCGTCGTCCCCTACACGTCATTTCCTTTCCGGAAATACCCATATTTTAGAGTATTTGACAGTTTTCTCGAACCGGTTGTTGCCATCTTGGATTATAAAATGGCGTCTGGCATTGATTTCTGGTCTATACACGTCATCCCCTTTCCGAAAATATCCATATTGTAGGGTCTTTAACAGTTTTTCTTGAATCGATGGCCTCCATCTTGGATTCTAAAATGTAGCCTAGAATCGATTTCCGGCCTCTACACGTCGTACCCGTTTCGGAAATACCCATATTGTAGGGTATTTGACAGTTTTTCTTGAATCGATGACCGCCATCTTGGATTTTAAAATGGCGTCCGAAATCGACCTGACAGGTTTCACAGATTGCTCTGAAGGGATCGGCTCCCGAGAAGTTGTGGGAAAACTTGGTATGTCCTGTCCTCAGTCGCGAGATTATGATCTGCGTTCGGTGGTCAGACGGGTTGTTCCACTTTCCCATGTCTCTCTTGACCTTTCGGATGAATGGTTCTCTTTTTTGGCTCCATGCAACTGCCCATTGGTCCTCGATGATCTCTGTGATCCACTTTTATAGGTCATGCTCAGGAATCTCTTCCAGTAGCCACCAGGTGATCTGCCTCAACGCTACCACGAAGCCCACAGTGTCCAAGGATCCATAAGAAGGTGGTGGCATAGTATCGGATTGAATATCATCAACTAAACTGTCTGAATCCGTGAATATAGCGATTGGTTTATCGGAGGGAGTGATGATGGCAATAAAGACTGCGGCAGCTTCGGCAGATAAGATCGAATATTGTTTAGGTGGTTGAAAACATTCCGCCATTTGTAGGCAGGTAGCCTCGATACCGACACTTCTACGGGTAACTGAACCATCGGAGTATCTGATGGAGTAGCCGTGGTACACACTAAGATTATTTCACCGAAATCTTTGAAATTTTACTGAAATCTCAACAGCTGAACGTTCGGTAAACAGTTCGGTGATTTTTCACAGATTTCCTGTAATTTTTCACCGAATATCTGTGAAAAAATACAGGAAATCTGTGAAAAATCACCGAACTGTTTACCGAACGTTCATCTGTTGAGATTTCGGTAAAATTTCACAGATTTCGGTAAAATAATCTAAGTGTGTACACGGCGCTGGAGCTGGGTCACCGAGTTGGTTACCGCTTGTGACCGTTTGCCAAAACGAACCTTGCTGCATACCCAATCCTTTTATCCAACATCGCAGTGATTTTTGGTGGAAGTGCAGAGGACTCCTAAGCTTCCAACAAAGCGAGTATCACATCAACACATTTCTACCCAAGCCAGAGGGGAACCAGCCTCAGGCTGAAAGCCTCTCTAATAAAGAAAACTTAACTTAACTTCGTACCCAATTCTTTCTTGACCTGCATCTGGACCTGGCCGGCGCTGGTATTACCTTATTTTAAATCATCAGTCATTGAGGATGATTGCTAATCAAAAGCATCATCTGTTGGTTCTCTGTGTAATTACAGCTGTTCTGGCAATAATAGAGTAGCATCCGCAGGTGGTCAATCATGCTCATACCGGGATCTAATGCAAGTAACATCAAGTTGAACAGGAATTTGATCGAAATTGTTTTCTGAAATAAGGAGCTCGCTGGCCTAGTGGCGACCGTTTTTACTTAGCGAGTAGAAGACCGTGGTTTCAAACCTAAGCACCTTCCAAAGGAAGGCGTGATCAGAGATGTTATTCCTCAGAACATTCCGGCGGCGCCGACTGGGATTGAGAGGTAATCACGCTTACCACTACACCACCGGCACCGCTGTTCCAAGCTCCTTCATCAATTCAGCATATCGGGGAAATGCAGGTCATGTCGGCCTAAGTGTCCCTAATTTGGGCCCATATATAAATTCAGCAATCAACTAAGTTTTCAATAGCATCCAAAAATATCCATTAGTAACGTCCCAATAACGCGTTCATCTAGATTAAATTGATAAATAGCAGACTTTTAGCGATGGGCCCAAATTAGGGACATGTAGGCCGACATTACCTATATTTCCCCTCGATTACCAAAACGAATCCTACTAAAAAGCCAATCCTGATTTGATTTCAAGTGGAAGAGCAGAGGTGTCAATCCTTATCTCGAAAAATCGCTCAATTGAAAATGAAGCCTAGATACTGGCTGGCTCAGTGCTGGCTAAACAAGTCTAAATCATGTTCTATAGAACCTTCATAAAACCAAAATTGTTACTCGTTCTACACCAGGGCCGTCTCCATATCCCTCACGATAGGGAAGGCTGTCTTGGATGGACCTGCATCATTATTTTTGGAAACGATTTTTCCCCTTGAACTAATTTTTTGAACCGCCCTAACGATTTCCATGAAGGTGACAGCACAGTGTAAAAGTTGAAAACTTTTGCGGGTAGATTTTCGTGAAAGTAAGGGATTTGCCACGGCCACTGATTCTGTACAAGGACAGGTGTTTGTTTTTGTCTACTGAGCCACTACCACTACTACTACTACTACTTCTACTGACTGCCGTTGTAGGTGGTGTGCAAACTTATTAAAGAGAACGATTTTTATCTGGTGGAAACGCCGCTAAAGCTTTGCTGTAATTAAGGTGGAGGGAGGAGTGGGAAGGGGGAAACAAACAACGATAATTAGTTTTCGGATCTCTTTTCCGGAACACCTGGGTGCCACTGGGAGGTGGCGTCGGCGACGGCGGGCATTAGATTCAAGGCTGATAGAAATGAGATTTTTGTTTTTGCTTGAATTTTTTTGATTAGTCCGAGCTGAATAGGACCAAGAAGAACGGGGTTTTTGCAGCGGAAAAGTGATGGAACTTATGATTGAACTTTGTTGACCAATTTTCACCCGAAACAAATACTGTTTTCTTGTTTTATCAGCCTATTGTTTATATCTTGAAAATATATCTTATACTCAGGATCTTGAAAATGTCTTCATTTTTAAAATGTTATTAATTTGTTTTGACTTTCGGGAGTGTCAAGTGGCAATATTCATGTTGCCAACAATTTTTGACCCATTCACTCACAAATGAATGAGTAAATGAGAAAATGTATTGTGACTCTCTCGTTTGGCCTAAAATCCTTCAAATAGGGTTTGCGCTCGGCAAAGTTCGTTTTTCGCAATCTTCCAGTTTCTCGCCTGTTTCGTTCTTCTGCTGTCAGTTCCGAGGCAACGGGCAGAGTTACTTGCTCCTTCTTACAGTTTTCCCATGCAGCGGTGGAATCAACATTTTTCACAATTCATTCCAATCCGTTATTGATTTTCTCCCACAATTCTAATAACATAGAAAATTTAAACGAAATGCTGCCCCCTCCCGGAAAATTATTTCCATTTGATCTTGTTGCTTGCTGAGTTTCACCTTCAAGTAAATTGTTCCCGGTACTGCCAAGCTTACTCCCAGCCAAATTTGCACGCACACACACACACACGTTCCGTCACCAATCAATTATCCAACCTCCAAGACACACGGCTCGTTTGTCACTCTTCCACCATTCAATGAAAATTGTGTAAACTCACGTCGCACGATTAAATTCCCAGGAAATCCAATCAACCAAATTTCCTCACAACTCTGCCTGGCAGCACTGGTGCTTCGTTTCGTTTCGTTTCGTCACCGATGATGACGACGGGCGGCACAGCCCAGAAACCGCAAACGGCTGATGATGATTTATGAAAATGGGTTCTATTTTCACATCACGATTTAAAAATGTCATTTAATATACAACCGCGCTGTGGCTGGGCGTCGTCGGTGTCGCCGAATCGACTCCGGCACAGTTTAGTATGTTTTGCTTTTTTTTTTATTTGGCATTCTGATGGACTCAGGCCCGAGGGAGGAGACGGACAACCGTCGTAGGAAAGTTTAGTTCTGGGAAATATTAATTAGCGCTTCGGAAACAAAGATGTCGTCATGTTCGAGACTGCGAGGGAGGGACGCCGGGAATTGACAACATATGGTCCCGCCGTGATGGGATGATTTTCTCGTTGTCGTGGAAGACATTTTCGGCTTGTCCCAAATTAAAAGAAGAGGTTAATAATTTTCTGAATCCCATATCCGTTTCGAAGGGAAATCTTCGGATTTAACGATCATCTTGGTTGGTGGTCCGAATGCTTTGTAACAACATCTGTCCGTCGTTGTCTGTTGTGGAACGTAGTCGAACATGACCTGCGGGGTCGTTTGTTCTGCCAACACAGAATGCGATGAATAAGTGATTCATGGACGAACGATTTAATTAATGATTCACTGGGAAGCAATCACCATTCTAATTCGCCGCCATGTTCGGATAGAATCACGCTCACACAAACACGCTCCTCACGCATCCCGATTTCCTCCGAATGCCACCGAACACAAACACAACTGACACCGGGTACTGATCTCATATGGATGGTTAGCCAATTCATCAATGATTCAATGATTTTCCACACCTCACCTCACCCGCCCGAGCGAACACACCTAGGCCAAACAAAGGCGGGAGGAAATTGGATGACAGATGTGCTAAAATATGGTGCTTTCTCTCTACTTCACAGGAAAGTTTACACCGACCACCGCGACTGTAGATACGAGTACGTAACATTCAAGACGAGGTTTTACGTTACAGAAGCTTCCGTTTGCATGGAATTGTAGTTTGGTTAATTGCTTGAGTAGATTGTTTGCATGTTTTTCGTTGCTTTTGTAGTTTTTTAGTCTAGTTGACTGTGATGGGAATTTCTGATGACATCGGCAACGAAGATCCAGTTGTTAGGCCACCAAGCATAAATTATCATACCACAGGCATCGATTGATTCTCATAAGATGTATCTTATGAGAGTTCTTCGTATTACTACCAGTTCAGATTTCTTGTTTAAATTGGAAATTCGCATTGAGGTGCATTGACTGATCCGGTTTGAACTGCAATCCCTTATAAATTCGTTAAAACAACCCTAACCTTAATATAAGCATTTCAGAAAAAAAATTAGACCACTAGGTCCAAAAACTGGCACACTTGTCCTATTCGATTTCAAAGTGAATTCAAGGCACGTGTCTACTCAAGAGTAATACGAAACAAAGAAAAAAAAACCAAGAAAAGGAAACGAAAAACATATATACTAAAAAAAAAATTTTTTTGGATCACCTTAACTATGCTCTACTAAAAAATATTACGAGAAAAAAAATTATAGATATATACTGTTTACAAAATTTTGGATCACCCTAATTATGACCCAACCTAATCTAATATTGGACCATGCGGGGAGATGCGATACTGGTGAAAACAAAGCGACACGATATACCTAATGCACTGAGGCGGCAGATGACTGGTGCGATGCTATTGTTTGCCCCAACGCCACACTGCACTATGGGCAAAAATGGGTCCAAAATTACCCAAAATTCAATATCTGAACAGCACGGAATCGATTGCACGTGGTCCCATAGACCGGAGAGCCTTGTAGGTATGTGTTTTGGACCATATTACCCCTTTTTCCCCTACTTTTTGGAGGAAATGTTTTTTCACAGCTCTATTTTTCGTAAAACATAAGCACTTTATGCATGGTTTTAGAATACTATGTCTTTAAACAACAGTTCATGAGATATTAGGGGAATACGGGGTACACTTTATAGGGGAGTAAGGGGTAAAAGTGAACCCCTTGCTAAATTTATTTTAATTCATAAAAAATGTTGAACGATGCGATTGTTTGAATGACCCCAAAGGTTGCCTGCTATAATAAGATTTTTTTTTTAAATTTTAAGGTTCATTGGGGTTAAATAAGTTTTAATTTACTGCTATCTGTTTTAAAAGAGTTTTCACTTTTTTTGTCTGTATACAGGAAAACGATATAGTGGTTCTCAGAGTTTTGGAAAAATTGGTAGTTTTGTTCCTTTTCGCAAAATATTAGACCCATATTTTTTATTTTGTCATTAGGGTACTATTTATATATTAGAGCGGTCAAATTCAGAAATTTATAACTTTTGAACTGTTTGGCCGACGACGGAACTCAAAATACAGAATGAAAGTTAATTAAAAGTATTTTTCAGATAAAAATATTATGATACTAAAAAAAAAGGATTTTGAATTAAAAAACATTGATTGTATATTTCACTTTTACCCCTTACTCCCCTATAAAGTGTACCCCGTATTCCCCTAATATCTCATGAACTGTTGTTTAAAGACATAGTATTCTAAAACCATGCATAAAGTGCTTATATTTTACGAAAAATAGAGCTGTGAAAAAACATTTCCTCCAAAAAGTAGAGGAAAATGGGGTAAAATGGTCCAAAACACATACCTACAAGGCTCTCCGGTCTATGGGACCACGTGCAATAGATTCCCCGGACGATTTCTCTTCGGAAAAGTCGTTTTTCATGGCCGGAATTCAGCGTGCTGTTGAGATATTGAATTTTGGGTAATTTTGGACCCATTTTTGCCCATAGTGTACTGCACAGTGGTCCAGAATGCAGATTTAGGTGGAATGATATGTTTTGAGCCTGAAATTGAAACTTTAGACTAAAAGTCTCTTCTACAAAGTTGTTCCTTATTGTTAGGCCCTCATTTTTATGACAATGAATTCTAGGGTGGTTCCTATTATCATTGAAATCAAAAATCTAACTTTTTTGTTTGAAAAAATTTAAGGTATATATTCTTTGGCAAAGTTATAGCTGAGCTAATTTTAAGCAACTTTGTTGAAAATAACTTTTCTGTATCTCTTAAATTGGCCGATTTAGAGCTATTTTCTTGGATTACTATATACACCTAATCTACTATATACAAATTGCTTATCAAAGCATGTTCTGATAAATTACATTTTTGTGCAAATTTAGTCTTAATTTCGTTAATTCTGGAATCTATTTTGGCAATGCCTGCCTCTTCATGTAAATTTGTTATTCTAGTGTCAAAAGGACGATCAAGAACCATCCTCAGCACTCTATTCTGAGCGACCTGAATTTTGTTCCTGTGAGTCTGTGCAAATGATTCCCACACCGGAGCTGCGTAGAGGATCGCAGGTGCTATGATTTGTTTGTAGACGGCCAGTTTGTTCACCCTTGAGAGGCGGGATCTGCGGCAAATCAGCGGATACAGACACCTAACCAAGGCAGAACACTTGACTATAGTTTTCTCTACATGCGCACGGAAGAGGAGCTTTTCATCAAACAACATCCCGAGATAGGTTACTTCGGCAGACCACTCAACCCTTGTGCCATCCATGATTACAGTACAAGATGGATCCGGTTTCAGTTTGGGCGATTGCCGATGGAGGAACATGATCGCTAGTGTTTTGGAGACATTGATTTTGATTTTCCACGTGGTGGCATAATCAGCAAAGGCGTTAAGGCATTGTTGAAGTTTGTTCGTTATTTCGCGAGGCATCCTTCCTTTGACGGCTATTGCGGTATCATCTGCGAACAGGAAAAACACGCAACCGTCACCGAGGGGAGGAATGTCGGAAGTATAAATGCTGTAAAGCAAGGGACCAAGCAGAATGTCCTGAAAGTTGAAGTTACAAAGCTTGTATACAAGCCCATTGTGCCAGACATTATCAAACGCTTTCTCAACGTCTAACAAGGCCATGGCTGTGGACTTGGATACAGCTTTGTAACTTCGGATGTACCCGTACTAGCTGATGATTGGTGGAGTGCCCCTTTCTGAACCCAAACTGTTCCGGAAGGAGAATGTTATTTTCCTCGACAAACTTGAGCAAACGATTGAGAATGAGTTTCTCGAACAATTTGCTCAGCGCTGAAAGGAGGCTGATTGGTCTGTAGCTTGAAGACAATGTTGGATCCTTACCGGGTTTGCGGATCGGTATGATTTTTGCTACTTTCCAGATGCTTGGAAAGTAGTGCAGTTCCAAACATCTGTTGAAGATAGCGGTTAGAAGAGACTGCACTTTCATGCTGAGTCTCTTCAAGATCAAGTTAAATATACCGTCAAACCCGGGAGCCTTCATGTTCTTGGTGCATTTCAGCGCTGAGCAAATCTGTTGTACTGTAATCATATCCGCCGGAGGCACGACACAAGGGGAGACATCTAGGTTTTGAACGCATTGCGCAACCTGATCATCGAGCGGACTTTGGATAGTCGAGCCAAGCAAATGCGATGAAGCGACATGCTCGCCGATCGCATTTGCTTTCTCCTGTGGGGTGACTAAAAGCCGATCGTCATCATTTTCGACTCTGAGAGGTGGAATGGGTTTGGGATGAGTTTTCAGGACCTTGGCTACCTTCCAGAATGGTCTGGAGCGGTCATCCAGATTCTGGACAACACGCCCGAAACTTTCATTTCGGAGTGAATCCATTCTGGAAGCTATCTGCCTGTTCAGATCGGCCACTTCACGTTTTTTGCCCAGATCTCCAGCCTTCTGAAACTGGCGTCAACGAACATTTCTCAACCGAATAAGTAATTGGTTGTGGGAATCAATAGCAACAAACTTACCCCTCACAGGAACTTGTCGAACACACGCCTCGTCAGCCACGGATATGGTCTGTTGGAGTCCTTCCAACGCCCGGTCGATGTCAGCTACAGTGTCGAGCAGTGGATTTTCATCGATTTTGCTGTCCACCATTCGTCCGTACTGCACCCAGTTGACATGGTGGTTGTCTTAACGCAGGCAGCTTCTAGCAGGAACCACGTTGACACCGACTTCAGTCACCACCGGTTGGTGGTCGGAGCTGAGATCGTTGTGCGCCTCCGGCTTGGATAGTCCGATGTTTGACAGGAAAAAGTCCAGCGTGGAGGGATTTCCCGCCGGAGAGATGAAAGTTGGTTCGTCTGGAAATTGCACAGTGTACAGTCCATGTTGTGCGTGGTCGAACAATAGACAGCCGTTCCGGTTCCTCTGGTAGATCCGCCAAGCTTCATGGCGGGCATTCAGGTCACCCCCAACGATGAATCGGGAGCTAGTACGGGTGATGGCGGTCAGGTCGTTCTTGAATTGAGTTCCTAGTCCATTGTTGGCGGTGCACTGGCGTGGGCAGTAAACAGCGACAAACCGGACGTTTCCAGTTGGTGATTCCACCTCCACACTAACGGCCTCGATGATAGAAGTGCGGACGTGGGGCAGAGTGCAGAACTTGATTCCCTTTCTGACGATGACCTCTACACCACCCCCCTGGAGCTGGTGCGATCAAGCCGGATAATGTTGTGGTCAGGCAACCAGAAGCTGTCGCCGGACTTTAGATGGGTCTCGGTTAGAAGACCCACGTCGATGCTGTGCTTGCGGAGGAAGTCGGCAAGCTCAATCTGTTTTGCTTTTACAGAGCAAGCGTTCCAGGTAGCGATGGTTAGCGGTTTAGACACCATACTGGATGATGAACTTACCGAGCACTTGGATCTGTTCGGGTTTATTGCGGCACTTACGAAGAGCACCGGACATGTTGACGAAAATTTCCATCAGTTCATCCGCTGAGAACAGATTGGGGTTGTTGTTTTGCGCTGGTTGTTGTCTCCAGAATCCAGGGGGGATGGAGAGTAGGGTGCTTCATTCTGAAAAAAGTGATGAATTTCTGATGGGCCACCCTCCAGTTCGATTCATAGCCCCAAAATATGAACCTGTGCAAAAATTGGTAAAGATTGATGAAGGTTTAGAGGTCG